GAAAAAAAAAAAAAAAAAAAGGTGTGTGTATAATCCATCAGAAACAACGATCATTACGAGAACTGTAACTTCATGCTTCCTTCAACCAAAAGACAATAAACCACTAGTAATACACAGTACGAAGATAGCATACCACAGCCAGTTTCGCCGACGATAAGCGTGATGCGATTCTTGCGGATTTTCTCAACGATTCTCTCCTTGAGCGACATGACCGGTAAAGCCGAGAAATCGAACGGCGACGACGATAACAACGTCGACGAAGAAGAAGAAGAAGCCATTGAAGCAACCTTTTCGTCTTCCTTCTCTCTCAGAATGGTTCCTCTGGTCTCCGTAGTCGTTGTGCTCCCGCCTTTAAAGTTTACTGGAGTGATCGAGGAAGGAAAGGAACGGGGTATTTATATCTTGACACGACGGTCAGATGTTTGTCTTCGGTCATTTGACCAAAAGGTAAGGGTAAAATTGGAAATTGCCAGTGCGGAAAATACTCCGAAAATTGGTTGTGTGTACGGCAAACTTCGCGCGCAAGGATTTGGCACAGATCGTGGGCCCCCATTTTTTATTTTCTCACTTTTTAAGGAAATTTGAGAATAATCGATAATTATAATATTATTTTTAATTAAATTATCTTTTAAAAATGTAAACATTATTCATCATAGACATGAGAGTGACACGTCCTAGACAAGCATTAATGTAACATACTGCTCATAATTATAGCCCTTGTATTGTCTTATTGATGCACGTTGTGTATACATATTTCTAATTATTTGAAATGTGTTGCTACTAAGTGTCTATTTGATCGGCTTGTTATTTGTATTTTTTTTTTTGTATTTTTCATTTTGTTATTTTATGGTATAAAACTCTATGGCTACTCGTATATTTTCAAAGCCAATCAATAATTATTATAGGTTAAGAATGAGAAATATAAATAGAATCGGATCGAAAGTATGATCTTCATTCATGTTTATCACGTTTAAATATGATACAAACTATCAACTAACACTTGAAAATCAATAAAAATATATAATTAACTAAATGTTGTAAATAGGATAAAATATACTGTTAATCAAATCTAAAATAAAATATACTACTAACTCCCGGATAAAATCAAATCTAAAATAAAATATATTACTAACTTCTAAAAAATCTCAGATATATTCCTTAACTAATTATTAAAATATATCTCTAAATATCATATACGACGCGAGTCATTATTATGCATTAAATAAGTTTACTAAATAAAACATTTTATTTATTTATATATATATAATATATATATATTTTTTTTATTAAGGTAACAATATGAATCAAGAATCATAAGCGGGTGATTTAATTCCCACCTCACAATCATCGAACTCAGAATAAGAATAAAGAGGTATAAATTACTTTTTTTTTTTTACCTATCGTGTTTGGAGTTTGTGTCTATTGGGTCCATAGGCTTCACGATCGAACCTTCCTCCTTTCAACTCACACATTTCCTCTTCTCTGATTGTTACGAGTCGATGTCGATAGTCTCCCCTACCTTGATGTAAAAAACAACGCCACCACAAGATCCCATCCACCCCTGACGTTGACACTTCCTCTACCTCAGTATCGTCGTCGACACCACACTACCTCGATGCTAAAGATAACGCCACCACGGTTCATCAACGGATTTGGGGGCAAAAATGGAATTATATATATATATATATATTATTATTATATTTAATAATAATAATAATCAAGTATATAGTTGATTGGGATGTTATGCAATTTAGTAAATTTAAAATAAAATTACCTTTTTGCCCCAAGTTCCCGCAAAACCCGAACCAAAATCCATTATAGTTGGGTAATTTTAGTCGCAAATTTCCACTCCGTCACAACGGCTCGAGCCACACCAAACATAACTCGCAAACCAGAGACTCCGATTCAGTGGTAACCTCGAGAGATTCAGAAGATGGCTTCAGGCTGGGGAATCACCGGGAACAAGGGCCGATGCTACGATTTCTGGATTGACTTCAGCGATTGTATGTCCCGCTGCCGAGAACCAAAGGACTGTGCTCTACTCCGTGAAGATTACCTAGAGTGCCTCCACCATTCCAAGGAGGTGAGACCTTCCATTTCCCTTACTTTTTTCACTTCTGTTTTGTTTTTCCTCCAATTTTTCATGTATAAGTTAGATTAATTGCCTGAATAGGGATTAGATGTGTGCCTCTTTGATTCTTCGAGCCTCTGATGCCTAATGCGACCTTTGCTCATGTTTTCAACATCGCATCCGGAGGCGGTTGCCTGAGATTTGGTTTAGATCTGTTTTTCTATATAACTACAAAATTTCTGTAGGAACTTAAATTGCGATTACTTCGATTTTCGAGGCTTTAGGTGCTAGTGATCGATTAGGGAAAGGTTGAGTCGTATCAATGAAAATAAGAAGGTTCTGTGGCTTCCAGTTCGAGTTTCACATTGTTTCTCAATCTTTTGATGTATGTTTTAGAGTTATCATTAACAAGAATGAATGTTTTATAAAAGCAAGGTGGAGCTCTCAGTCTAAGCTTCTTACATTTTCTGTTACTCGGATAATTAGAGGACGGGTTATCTCCTTTTTCTTAAAGTGAACAGCTTACCACGCATTGCTTGTTATTGCTTATCACGATTGCCTCCTTTTTACTAAAGTTGGATTAGTGAAAGTTATAGTCTGTTTAGGCATTCTGTTAAATCGCAACAGTATGATTTTATGCTTGTAAGTCCTTGAACTCTGAGGTTTGTTCTATTTGGTCCATGAACTTTCAAATGTGTGCCATAGATCACAAAATTTTCAATTTTGTGTTGAATATATCTATGAAAATTCTAAATTAATTGACATATTCGATATAAATTTGAATTTTAAGTCTAATGGAACCATAAAATTTCAAATTTGTGTCTACTAATCTATGATTTTTAACAAATTCGAAAGAAATTTGAAAGTTGGATAGTTTATGGGCTAAATAGACACAAGGCTCAAGGTTTAGAGACTAAACTTATTATTTATCCTCTTTCCAAGGATATGAATATATGCACAATCTCTTTGGAGAAATAATTCTTGGAGGCCAGAACAATGTGATTGTGGTTTTATATCTTTGGATGTAAGAGAGAGAAACAAAGAAATTATGGTTTACCATGCATCCAAGGGGTTTTTTTTTTTTTTGGGGGGGGGGGGGGAA